ATAATTGGAATCACTCAGGAGCCATCTACTCGGGAATATTATTTAGTTTTCTATTACGACGTGTATGCAATACTGGATAATTTCATACGCAACAACAAACGTGTTAAATACATGCAATATAGCGACTTTGATGAACTCAAAGAGATCGGAGCTGGTGGTTACGGAACAGTTTATACTGCCAAGTATAAAAAGTATAAGTATTCAAAAGTACGGGATATGTCACAAACTGTTGTGTTAAAACGATATAATGTTGATCAGACTTCGGAATTATTTGTTTCAGAGGTAAGCAATAACTTGATAGTATTAATTAAAGCGATGTTAATCTGACTCTGTATTTTTTATTTAAATAGTTCAAAAATCATGCCAAATCCTCAAGTAAATATAAATTCCTTTCCCTTTATGGAGTGACACAAGACCCAGAAACACAAGAGTACATGATTGTTATGCAATATGCTAACAACGGTAGCCTTTTGTCTTATTTGGATCAAAATATTAACAAATTGTTGTGGTTGGATAAATTACGGCATTTGGAGCGTATTGCAAACTATCTGGATAATATTCATAGGGCGGGATTAGTGCACTGTGATCTGCATGGTGGAAACATTGTTATGCATGACAATACGTATAAGATAGAATCAATGATATGCGATCTTGGTCTTTCACGATCGGTGAATTCACACGAGTCCAACTCAACCATTCAAGGTGTTTTACCCTTTATTGCACCGGAAGTTTTCCATACTTACAAATTTATTCAGAAATCAGACGTATATTCTTTTGGTATCATTATGTATTTGGTTGCTACTGGTGAACCACCTTTTAGAGATAGGCAATTCGATAAATATTTGGTATGCGATATTATGAGCGGACTACGACCATCGATGCCTGATTCTGCACCAGAGGAATACAAGAAACTCGCCGAGCGTTGTTGCGATGCTGATCCTGATAAGCGTCCTGATGCGCGGGCGCTTTGGCGTCATATTGACGAGCTTGTTAATAAGGTTAGAAAAAACGATTCTGATAACAACCCATGGAATATTATCTATCATAACGATGTAAAACCATTGTCACGTCTCGAGAAGGTGAGTAAATACTCTAGTAAACTTTTACCTACAGGAGATTTGCCTAAACCAAGAAATAGTTATAATTTAGATTCAGCCGCAGGTACGACGAAAGCAGTTGTTACTTGTTCATAACGTTACAGTATTAACTTTGTCGATTGTCTTATTGATTTAGTGACTAAAAGTTTTGAATAATATAATCTACGAGTTTTATTCAAGGGCTTACCAACCTTTATAATTAAATATGATGACATGACTCAGAAATAATAATTGGATCGATATGTTTATTAGAAGCATTTTTGGGAATGTAAGGCGATTCCTATTTAAAATATCGATTAAATTTTGTTCTATTCGTCAGGACGTGTGTGTAAATCGTTGCTGTTGTTTTTTCCATTTTCAGTGGTTAGTTATGCTGAAATGGACGAGCGCATCTATAGAATGCGACCGTTTTATTTTAATACATGTCACCTGCCCTAAATTTGGCAATTTCTTAATTTTATACCGAGGTCAGAAGTTGCGCGCGAGAACGTTCATTATTTTTTTCCCCGTCGTAGCGAGTAATTTATTATTAATGTGAAAAAGTGCTGTCTAGTTTAACATTTGTAAAAAAGCTTATGTCAGCACAGCGCGCCACAAATGCTTAGATAAATGCTTAGGTTCTCTTTGATAAAATACGCTAATTATTATTAAAGACCAGTAAAGTATTATTGCAATTAATTTCTAACTTTACGCTCTGCTACTTCTTGAAGCAAAAAATAAATAAGCAACTACAATTTAATAAACTGGCAGCAAATTAAAATTCAAAAATCCTGGTGATAAGTTCTCGTTCCGCACCAACGCACTCGACGGCAGATAGCTAATTATACATCCGTCACCACGGAGTCGTAGAATCAAATGTATTATACTCTCGTTCTGAACGTCGCACTCGGCGAGCGTTTTATTATCTTCTAGTGTCTGGCCAGCAAAAATAAGCGTTTGTTGGTCCGGCGGAACGCCTTCCTTGTCCATAATTCGCTTACCGCCCGCCAAAAAAGGCGCCCTCCGCCCCAATAATGAAACAAGCTTATCCTCGAAGTTTCAGCCATAATAAAGTTTAACACACTCTTTTTCTGTTTTATAACTACCTTTACTCCAAATCAATTTTACACAGATAGTCTAACAAAGTACGTGTAAAAGTTGAACTGTCAAAAACCAATATAGCTATATATTTTTAAATTAATTGCCAAGCATGACGTTGATTCGAATAGTCGTCCTTGCTTGAAATTTTTGAAACAAGTGTTTTAATTTCAAACATTCTTGATACACGTAAGCAAATTACCTGCAGCTCTGTTAAATTTGCTGTTTTTTTTAACGATAAATAGTCATTAAAGCTTTTTATTTTAACCGTAAACAAGTTATCAAAATAATTTGACATTTTATTAGAAAGTTACAATTTACTATCAATTTATATTTGTATGTCAATTCAATTTTTTTGTTTTACTGTAGTTATAAAATTTTTGCGAGTTGCCATTCTCAATTAGCTGTAGGAAATCAGTACTTATATACACAAACTAGAGAAAATAATCTTTGGTCTCTACTCTTGGCAAAAGTATTGGCAACTTGTGAGTTATACAAGTTTGTATTATCTGTGGCTAATTAATAATGTTTTAAATAATGCTTGGTTGAAATCTGTCTTGTTCTAAAAACAGCTGTTCGAGATTGTTGTAGTGTGTTAAAATCCGTATAGTATGGCACGTCAAAGTTTGAATTAAATTTTACAAAAAAGCGTCAAATTATTCCTATTTGTAAATCGTCAGAGCCTCAAACAGTTACTGCCGGATATTTCGTTGGAACTTTGCTATGTATATAAATTATGTGAGTAAAATTTCCAAGCGGCAAATAGTTGCGTCAAACCAGGAAGTTTTGCAAAACAAATTCTGACGTTTGATCGGTTAATCAGATTGACAAATCGGATTCGAATTTATTGCGCATCAAAATTTGTTTATTATTCTAACAACGCTACGGAATCACATAATTTATTAATAAATCCACACATCATTCTGTAAATCCGCCCTTCACTGCATTTGCTAAAGGCACAGTTTAAATTGACAAAATTTTGCTGAAACATATTCGGGCGAGGCCCGATTTTTTCAAGCATAATAATGCTCTTGATGCCGGACTGGTATTTATGTTAACTGTAACAAGTTTGATTTAAATAAAAACTAGGCAATTTAGCATGCGTCAAGTATTACCATTTATCGATGATATATAATACGTACTGTAATTCTGCGCTTTACAGAAATTTGGTAACTACAGATGTCGTATGTCGGTTTAAATTTATTTCATTGACATTACGAGATCAACCTACTATTATGTTGAAATTCATGGATTACCAAGTCCTGGTAGAATGTCAATTACATTACTCAATCATTTACACTTTTGCCAGCCGAAACAAATTACAAGTCAGTCTATTGCAAATTTATTGTAGGCCTCAAAAATAATAGTACATTAAAATTGTTCAAATATGATGCATTTCACAAGTTTAAGTTATGGCACCGATTAAGGCCTTATATGAGTCTAAAAATAGATTTATATGACAGATGCCAACATTTCCAGAATGGCTCACAGTATAATGTTCGGAAGTGAAAATTTTACTAAAAAGGTACAAAGAACATTTAAACTATAGATTAGAGAGAAATTATTACCAACAAAAATATGAAATTGGCAAAACAACAGAGAAAATTGGTAGATAATAATTACATTGTAACAGCAGGTAAAGTTGATTATTGTAGCATTGATGCTATTGCTCATTACGGTTATGATACACAAAAGATTCATGTGCCCCATTCAAATCGGTCCGCATAAAGTGCATTTATTTGGTATTCAAGATAAATCAGTTTCTCACAAACAAGTTAATTATTGTTCTTGAAGATAAAATTATCAGCAAAGGTTTAATGGTACCCTGAGCATGGTATTCGATGGAAATTAAATAAATGTGAAAAGCATTTAAAGATTACCTGTAATATTGCAGGAGGACAGAACAAAAATAATGCCATAATTTGATTTTACCCTGTATTTAATAGTTTGTGGCTACTATGAAAGTATTGAATTAAATTTCATGATACCTGGACATACTGAATTCAAGTGTGATGGTAGTTTTGGTTTGATTAAGCAGCAAAATTACCTTTTATCCCTAACTGACTTCAGAGACAGATTCTTTACAAGAAACCAAGTAATCACTGAACTGTCCCTCAAACCAACCCCACGTGTCCCGTTGGATTCGATCACCCAGCAAACCCGTCAGGAAAGATAAAAAAGGAGAAGAAAAATATAGAGTTAGTTTATAATATAGCAAAAATATAATAATGACAGTATACTTACCCAAGACCTCTTACCCGCCGTCTAAAAGCTAGCCCCAGGCTTTCAAATTTTAATTTCCGCGAGCAATTGATTGACCGGGGAAAAATCTTATTTGACTGGCCTTTGCGCCGCCGATTTTACGAGCAAAGAACTACTAAACCCTGTTCAATTTGTTCTCGAAATTTAGTCGTAAAGAAATGATTGCCAATTTAAGAATTGGGAGAAAAAGTACAATCAAACTCATCCACGATTCGGTATAACAAGACATTCGGTATGGTGATGTTCATTAAAACGGGGTTATTAAGCAGTAACGTTTGATAAATCTCATGTTTGCTGGGTGACAGAGCGTGTTTGAGAGAGCGAAGCGGCTGTTACAACAGTTGCGTTTCAATAAATTGCAAGCATAGTGTAGTATATATAATCGTGCATAGCTTCCAATGGAAACGTGTGAAATACGTGGAGGGCTGAAAAGTTTTGCGTGTGACTCGCTAACTCGAGATTGCGTTAGTTTAACTAAAGTTGGGAATAATTATCAAATGCGCATGCTTTCAAATGAGAAAGTAGTGGAAGCAAATCCATTATCTCATTGTCGAGAAAATAAATTTTTTGCGAAGCATAGTAAAACAACTGGAGAAAATGAGCCGTAAAAATCAACGGTAGTTTATTTTTGCTTCTGGAAAATGGCAGAAATGCAAGTCAAATCCATAAAGAGTTTGTGACCGTAGAAGGGGAACAGGCATTGCCTATCAGCACAATCAGACGCTGAATTGCTACATTCAAAGGCGGGAAAGAAGAAATTAAAGACAAGGCTCGTTCTGGACGTCCTCACGAAGCAGTGACGTCAGAAAAAATTGCCAGAGTCGAGGATCTTTTTAGCAATAAGCCGCATACTTTTATTAAGGAATTAACTAACGAAGTCGGTATTTCCCGCAAAAAAATTTCTTACGTTTGCATGAAGAGCTGAATCTCCCACAAACTCTGTGCAAAATGGATTCCTCATAGGCTTTCAGAGGAACATAAACGAAATCGTGTCGAACTTTCCAAGCAACTACTACTACTACTAAAACTTTTAGACGGAGGGTACCAAAACATTATTACTGGTAATGAAACATAGATATATTTCTTTACTATTCCGAATGAGGAAGCGAACAAGTTATGGCTAGAAAAGGATGAGAATAGGCCACAAATAGTGAAGACGGCTCAAAATTCAAAAAAAAAAATAATTTGCATATTTTTTTTTCTGTAGACGGAGTTACACGATTTGTGGTTCCAAAAGGACAAACAGTTAATATTGACGCTAACCTTTATGCCAAAGAGATACTACCAAAAGTTTTTGAAAAAACGACTGTTCGTGACGTCAGCTTCATCACGATAATGGTGCAGCACATAAGGCAAGAATCGTAACGGAATATCTTCGAGCGAGTGAAACTTTTACCATACGGTCCAGACCTTGCTCTTTGTAATTTTTTCTTATTTTTTCAAATATAGAAAGAATAGAGGGAAAGGTCGAAAATTTGGCAAGGACTGTTTAGGCAGTTGTTGAAGATATCCAAAAAGAGGACTATGAAAACTCTTTCCAAAGTCGGCTAGAACGTTGTATGAGTTTAATGGAGAGTACTTTGAAGAATGAGGTAGTTTTAACGATAATTATTACAACAGCCAAAAAAAACCATTTACAGTTTGAATCAAGGATCATAAATTGTACAAACGTACATATTTAGTCTATGTTAACGTTGAATGTAAAGTTGTAACAGCATATGCACAAAATTTTAATTGCAGCTTTATCTTTTCAAATGCCTAGTAATTCGTTACAAAGTATATGTCGCTAATATATAAAGTTAATGTAAGTTAAAACATTATATCCAATATGTTGGATTAATTTGTCATTCTCCCACTCAGTAATATAATAATAGTTTCTCGCGACTATAATATAGTAATCTATCCTAAAATAAGACGTATAAACGAACCAATAGCCATGAATGAAAGCCTAAACATGCCTTGCAACCCATCAACTCCTAGTTCACCAATACTCTGTAAAATAGAAACTAGACTACCGGAAACTATTTTCCCACCATAAAGAGACATATGATAAGCGGCTATACTACCTTTAACTATTCCTCCAGCGGTATAGCCTAACATACGAATGATTATATGAAGCACACGTGGAAGACAGATCAGAACAACAATAGCAACAATTATCCCAATACGTTTAGGCGTAAAATAACCCGAAACAAATTTAACCGTAATTTCGTAGGAGTTTTCGAGTTTTTTGTAGGCCTTATCGGTGGCCTCATCACTAAGCATCGACATTGTCACGGTGAGGCGTAGCCGCCCGAGTTTGTCATTAGTCAAGTCGAGAATTTTGCCAAACCCCCTCTGAATTTCGTCAAAAGTTTTGTCTGGTAACCAATTATAAGATTGCCCATCTACCGCCGTTAAAATTGCCGTCTTCATTGCAAATAATGTTTGGTAATATAAAGACATTTAAAATAATATATTAATTTAGGTTTAACAGTAGCTTGCGTGTTTGTTACAACGGTAAATGCTGGCAATACAGTACACAAGAGGCGGAGTGAGATGAATGTGATAATCGGAGTTTCATTTTATTGCTTTAATAACATTATTATCTCAAATTAGGTTTGAGTAACTTTATGATGTCTTAATAGTTGCACAACATTACCTGCGTTTATATACAGCAATGTAAATCATCGATCAATAGAATTTTATTAATAAGTACAGCCATCCCTTGTTTATCATCACATCGACAATTATATCGCAAATTATCCTTTTTTTGGTAGTTAACCGTTGATGAAATTAACTGATTGTCGGTGAAATGACCCTGTCGGAAACATTACGTCTGCGCCATAATTGTCGATGCGATGATACGGACCCGTATCACGATGTGCGAATTTTGAGATTTGTTATTGATCAGCAAGGAATATCGGTTCCGATACGGATTACTATAATCGGCATAGTCAATTGCTTTGTGCTACGCATATTGACAACGTCATGTTGTGTATGAGAAAGATTAAACTTTCGCCATTGTTGTTCTATAAATGGTTAAATATATGCTGTTATGCTTAGTATTAGCATTTATAAGAGCGTAAAGCGGTATTTATAAGAGCGTAAAGCGGTATTTATAACGCTTATTGCCAAGCTACGGTAACCTCGCTAAGCTAGTCTGATAAAATTATACGCATTAGTATTCAACAAACTATATCTTTATATTGCGCAAATTGCATACTATGGCCGAATATAATCAAGAAGCTCATGTCTATGGTAATCCGTGGACGTCTTTGTCATTGCTGTGTGAATATGCGATTTGACATTTTATATAAATACAGAAAACACAGCACCGTCGTCTGTTTCCGAAATTTTTTCGAACGTTTACGGAAGTAAGCCTGAGCAATTCTTAGAAATCCCCAATTTATATAAACTTGCTGAATTGTATATGGATGAAGACTCAGGTATGGTGACAGTCATAAAATAGGTTTGAAAGCATGTAAACATTGCGGCTGTTTCGCTGACATGTTGTTTGTTTTCTTTTGGCATGTTAATGTTTAGCACAAAACATCGTTATACAACCATCCGATTTGAAAAAAATTTGTAATTTATTGGCTCCTGGAAGCTACCATTCTGTCTCCGATATCGGTTTTGAGCAATTAGCAAGAGTCCCCATTCGTCTTATTGGCTGTTATGGTAACCGTGAGGTTATCTTCAAATGGTTGTTACAAAACAATGTTATGGGAGAGTATAGGTTAGTGCTATTAAAGATATAGCGACTTTTTCAGTTACTTTTTTGACAGTGGACAATTTTATATGTAGGTGCAAAGAATCTGTAAAAACCGAACGGGAGCATGAGACAGTTTACAATGAAAGTCCAACGCCGGGTAATGGATTTTATTTACTCATGCTTAAGCCAGACTTGGGCCTCGTGATTCTTTGGTCAGAAGAGCGATTCTATCGTGAAAATAATGCTACAGAACTTTATCAGTAAATATTAATTTGCTATTATTTACGCTTTATTAAATCTATAAACCAACTTTATTTACAACTATTATCTCCCTAATACTAAGGTTTCTCGCACGTTTGACGGAACATCAATTTTGTTTAATGAGCGAAAGTGATTTAAAAAACTTTAACTGGAATTTAATTTCTGATTCAGGCAAGCAAACATTAGATGAGAGTGTTAATCATAAGATTGAAGAAGAACAGAAAAAAGACATAGTCATGATTGAAAATGGATTCGAGGTAATTAGATAGCAACTATAACTAGTACTGTGCTGAACTTGACACCCAAATATGCAAAATTTTCTGACTAGTATGTTAACTAACAGATCCGGATACCAGCATTGTTTCTGTATACTCAAGATCCATCAAAGGCTTATATCATAGAATCAACTACTCTACAATCTATTGCCATTGTGCAATACTTTGATCAGTCCACAATATTTTCACAAAAGATTGATACATTTGATTCTCTCTATGCATTTCAACAATTCTGGAGACCACTAGTGAATGAAAACTGCTATGCTTTGAGTGCACCTAACTTAAGCATTGATGGTTTAACAATTTTGATCAAAGATGGTTTAAATCAGCCTGATCTATTAGAAGATTATGAAAATCAGTTGAAAGACTTACATAACAAGACAGAGAAGAACATTGATGAATACAAAAAAAAAGTAACTGAGTGGGCTCTTTCAATTTTGCAAGACAATTACAGGTAGGCAGCATAGTATTTTGCATTCAACAACTATAATGTTAAACTAGCATGGCAATGTAATAGTAATATTAAGAAGATAGGTTTATGGTCAATGATTAAATTTTGAATTATTAATCAGGATTTCTGAAAAGAAAACTGAAGAAACTTCTATAAACTCACTGGAAGACAGTCCTGGTAACTAATTTTTGTTTCATTGATAAATTTTGAATAATTCTTGACACTAAACAGTTTTCTAAATTAATGATAGAGCTAAATAAGTTCTATACACACCATAAAGAACTTTGTAAGCAAATAAAGAACATGGCATTAAGAATTGATAGCAAGGACTGGAAATCGTTAAAAGAAAGGTTCTTTTATTTGAGTGGACTAGCACAAGGCACATGTGATATGTTTTTAGATATTATAATTACTGATGCACAAGAAAACAGTTTGCCAAGTAAAAAAATTGAAGAGATTAACAGGTTAGTTTTATACATCTTTTAAATTTATTGTAGTAATTAATGCATTGATCTGGGCTGACTTACAATTACACTAGTGCAATGCAAAAAGTAGCAACTTGTTTTATGAACCAAGCAAATCCAGAAGAAGAATGTGATCAAAAGTCCAAGGAAATTTTTGAGGAAGCTAAGAAGATGGCAGATAAGATATCAGACCCCAGTTTTATTACCTATCTACACAATTTGCAAAAGCTGACAAGTCCTGATACAGTGATGGAAGGTATTATTGCAGAGTTTGTCAAAGAAATTCACAATTGCAAACCTAAATTTGAGGAAAAACTAAGCAAGTATTTGGAGGAAAATACAAACCTAAAAGATAATTACAAGTACTTCAAAAAGTACACAAGAGAAAAAGGATTTATCATTGAAGATGAGTCAGCTGCATTAAGAACTAAACTTGAATCACTGTACTTTACTGGGTATGTACATTTCAATACAGCTTTATGCTAATACAAGTACAAGACATTGATTGACCTTTATCTATTTAGGTCGAAACTTGTTGTCACAAACTTGCGTAAATTACCATCTGATCAATATGAGTTGCATTATACTATTGAAATAGATGAACCTTCTTTGTATGAGCTCAAAATATGGGATTTAAATCTTGAGAAGTATAAGTATAGCAGTAATAATGCAATGAGTTCATGTCTAAAGGTTCTGTATATTGACAAAGAGATGTTTGAAATCAGGCAAGTCATCAGGTGTTGATATATAATGTCTTGTATACAATGGTCAAACTAGTAACTTAACTGGCAATGAATAATTTTTAGGAAAATTTATCAGTTTACCAATGGAAAATTGGTCCTCATTTTATGGGATAAAAGATACTGTGCTTATGCTATGTTTTATGAATCACTTGCTTCCTTGGTGATGATATTCAAGAAAAAAAGCTTTCCATGTCCAACAGAATTATTAGAGGTGTCAGAAGATTCACTGTTTGCTGTAAATGATTCAAAGGGTCTGATGGCAATCTATGAAAATAAGAAATGCATGGTATGTGGACTTTGTTTGTATATTAACACTAATAGTAATAGTATAATAACTTCATATTTGTTAATAGTTTTACATATATGATTTTGACAAAGACAAAGCAATAATATATATTGAACATCTTGGGTCACTACCAACAATCAAGTACTTTTTCTGGATCAACAATACAAGACTTTGTTTAGTTGATGATAATGGACAATCATATTACCTTAATCTGAATAGTAATTCATTGCAAGTCTCTACAAAATTTCCTACAAATGCAACATCTGTTCTCAGCTCACCTGATGGATCTTGTATATTTGTACTCAGGGAATCAAAAACACAACATAAACAGGCAGATGATCCGAATACACATTGTGTTGACAATGAGACAAACCTATCTACAAAGTTAAAGGGCAAGCAGTCATTACATTCTCAAAACCTCAATGATTCAATGCCACAAGAGAACACAGTACAAGCACTTGTATATTTTGTAAATCAATCTGATACTAAGCCACTTATAGTTGATATCCCTTTACCTTCACGATGGTTATCACATTGTAAATTCGTCATCTTTGAACAAACTCAACAGCATTTGGTCATGTTCAATCTGGCACTCGGGAAATTAGTTTCGGTAAATGTCAGAATCAATAGTAACCATAATATGGGCAAAGTCAGAATTGATTCAATTGTTTCGTCATTAGTCTATGGTACAAATACTCGTTTCATTCGAGACGTAGAAGTAGGTCAATACATTGTTTTTAATCGTGAAAAAAGGCCTGTCACTCATATCTTTAGCAATGAGAGTTTACAAGTCGGTGATGGCGGCTTCTCATTGCCATTAATCCCTAATTTATGGGATGGATATAAAATAGAAGAAAAAACGACATCAGCCAGGTCTGGCGGTTCTACAAAGTCATGCACAGATAAGGATATAGACCCGATGGAACTTACCGAATCGAGCGGTTACCTTGGCGCGCATTCAAAGTTTTTTGCGAAATATCCCATACAGCCATCTACAAACGATAACACGACTCCGATTGAACTTACTGTAATTTTGGACCTGCCACAAGATTCAACAGTCGATTTAGTCAAAGTTCAAGAACGTTACACTGAATACATGCAAAATAGACTCGGTGACACGACAGAACAGGACACGTCATTGTTAAGGACGCAGGTCAAAAGACTTGACGATAAATCATTGTATACTGATTTAGAAACGTTTGCTTCAAGCTACAAAGCTGATCAGTGAGTCGCGTTTATTTTAGTGATATTATTTATTGTTTTCTAAAATAACCTCCCATTATTTCTTCGCAGTTGGATTATTCGATTATGCACACTCATGCCGATTCAAATTGCCGTGGCAAGAGATAATCGGTTCATAATCCTACGTGATGGCTCACAACTTCAAGATGGAGGAAACGTCGAAGAAATTTGCCAATCAATCTCGCTTGGCTGCTATGAAGCTATCCTCAAATATCTTGGTAATAAAGCCGTGGACGTTATTTCTACTATGGGTGAACAATCACGTGAGAAATCGTATTTGCTTAACCAGTTTATCGGCACGAACTTTGATGACTTTGAGACGGTAAACTATTTAATTTATTACTGTTGATTACATACAGAAATAAACGACGAGTTTTTAAATGCTTTTTGCCTCAAAATTTCCAGTAAATAACTCACCCGATATTTTTTATATAGCATAGTAATAAAGGCGTCTGGCTGTCTTTAGGTAATATATTATATGCTTGTTATAATAGGGTATGCAATTCTTTTAATTAACTGAATTTTTTGGACAGCATATGAAGGGGATAAAGTATATGTTGGAATGGATTTTGAGGGTAAGTCTATCCATAATCCAAAGAATTTATCATACGGTCGAGTCTACAAACTTTATTAAGCGTTCTTATGTTCTCTCTCTAGGGCTCAGCCCTCTTGACAAAACTCCACAAGAAAATCTCCTCTTAACTCTCTTTAACATAAGGTTGATATTAAAATTATGTGCGTTTAAGTTCCTTCGCGTTTATTTATTAAACTGGACTTGCTTTTTAGTGTATCGACAATGATACTGTTCACGAGTTCCTTTCATATAAATAAAGACATCTCAGATAAATTCGACAATTTTGGACTCGAAAGCACCTGCTTTGGTGATATTAAAAAAGTGGAAAATATTTTCCAAGTAGGTATCCTTTAATTCTAAAATCAACTTATTTCAGAGATGCCGGGTATTAAGTAACTAATAATTTGTGCAGGCACTATTTTATACAATCGTGAAAGATGTACCAGACGTTGACATTGAAACAACTTATCGAGAATTGTTTGAAAAGTTTACCCAACTCGTCCAGGCTGTAAGTGTGATGTGACATGCAAATTATTTAAGTTCCAATAGACGTAATATAAACAGTATGTTTCTTAGGAAGGAGAGAATAACCTTATTTCAAAAGTGTATGGTGTTGAAACTTGGCCGATCCCTAACAAATCAGGTACTAAGTTATTAGTGCAGCAATTGAAATTCGTAATGTTTATTAAGATCATTATCTCAATCAAACTTTACAGAATTCTATACAGCTTTTGATGCACTCAAGATTAAATTAAAGACCGAGGCACCTAAAAAATACAACAATGCTTTGCATTTTCTGACAACGCTTAAGCTTATAATGGCAAAACTAACGGTAAGTTGTTGCGCTAAAAGCCAGATTCTACGCAAACTTTACGTTTTTAACAAGTTTTCGTGTATAGGGATGCGATTGGGCATCGTTGAGTGAACATAGATTTACTATCGCAAGATTAAAGGCTGCCTTGCCGAACTTTGTAGCTCACGGTCACGAGTCTATTCTTCCAAATGATCACGATATCAATGAGGAAGAGTTTATGGTAGTGTATTTATAATTTCTAACGGCTGCAAGTATTATGATTAACATTTGACTAATCAGTTTTTGAATGCAGGTTCACACTGGCAAAAATTGCGTTGACGATAAAGACATACCGATGTTTGACCTGTTCAGACGTTTAAAAGATTCGTTTATACCATTATCAGATGTTGGACTTGTTTTAATTGGAAACGATCTTACTGGAACGTCCAAGATCCTGAATGAATATTTCGAAAAAAATTATGGAAAAAGACTTGGGTCAAACGATGCTAAATGGATTGAACTGTATAACAAATTTGTTGATCAAATCATAAACCGGCGTAGGGAACGTGCTGAAACTTGGCTCGAGACCAATCTCAAAGGAATCGTACAAGACCATCAGGAAGTTGTAAAGTTGAAAAGCGAGCTTAGTAGACAATGTGATCTACTCAAACAAAGTTGGACGTCCGGAAGGGTATGCAACCAAAACCAGCGCAGCTTGAAAAATCGACGTGAGGATTCTGACGACGGACGTGATCATACGACTAATCATAAGCGGCCCTCCTATTACAGACGTCTTCTATGAATACGTGAGTTCACATTAAACAGAGCAACGCGATCACATTATCGCGTTTTAGAAAAACGTATTGACTCTGCCAATATGGAACTTAACTTATTATTCGGGTTTGATGTGTTAATTGCTCTATTACTATTACTATAGCGATACTTTCACATAAATAGTAGATTTTGGGCTTTATCTTAACTGATTAAATCTTTCAATTATATATAACAGTTAACAAGTATTTCCGTGACATGTTGATGAATCGATTACGATTTCCATCACTCTGACATAAATATTAATACGCATGCCATTCAGCTCACAAAATTATACCCTTTTCTGACGCCCTAAACATAATTCTAAAGAATAGCGATGGTGAAACTATGTCATGTTTTATTCCCGTTAGTCACATTAAGATACTTAAAGTATTGACAATAGTAGTGGAGTCGAAATTCTCGACTGCGGAGATTCCTTTCAAAAAAATGCCACGAGTTTATGAAGTAACACTAGTTTGTTGACTCAACTTGCCACATCGATCACATGGCCGATCATTGTAATGATTTATATTTCGTGCTACGCCAACTACAGAACGCGTTCTGCAAACCATGTCTCCATCAGCCGACTTGAAAAGTAAGAAAGAAATATCTATATATACTTCCAGTACTTGACACTATGTAAAATATTAAACTTTAGGCTTATCACGGCTTACTATAGATGTTAAGGAACAGTGGGAGGCAGAGGACATCGCGAAAACTAGAAATGCAATAATGGCAAAGTTGTCTGAACGAGCGATTCCGTCAAAACTCATAGGGGTTGAGGAACAGTACGGGTAAATATGGTTGGATTGGGTATTAAATTGGATTGCTAGATCGGCTTTTCAGTATTTTGACTGTTGTTTGCCAATAGCCAAGTCTTTGATCTATTGCAGAGGGTGATATCTCTCGGCGAGAGTAACTCCTGCCTTCTTATTGGTCCGCGAGGATCAGGAAAAACACTGGTATTTGTCTTCGATGTTCTGCCTTTTTTTTTTCTGAACAGTCAGTTGACTCTTTATCATCCATCGTTCTCATTAAAGATAGTTCGTAAAGCATTGCAGACTCTGCAATCCATGTACAATGACAGCTTCATTACTATCTATCTAAATGGCTTCACCTTACCTAATGACCGACTCGCTCTTCGCGAAATAGCTCGTCAACTATCGCTTGAACATGAACTAGAAGGAAAAGTATACGTATGTATAGCGCGTCATGTTACAATCAAAATTACCAATGATATGACACTTAAATTACCATAGCATTCGTTTGCAGATACGCTATCCTTTGTATTAAGTCAATTGAAGTCAGGCTCGAAAATTGCCAAACCCATCATCTTTATGCTGGACGAGTTTGATCTCTTCGCACAGCATAGCAAACAAGCGTTGCTGTACAATCTATTCGACATAGCAATGAGCAATCAGACACCGATCGCTGTTGTTGGAATGACTTGTAGAATCGTATGTTTATACTAGAATCGGGTTGTTGTCGTTTCGTTACATTTTACGTACTAAGATTATACATCATGTATTGGGACTAGGACGCAATGGATCTGTTGGAGAAGCGTGTCAAGTCACGTTTTTCTCATCGACAGTACTGTCTGTTTCCGGCCAAGTCGTTTGAGATCTTCTTACAGATAGCGAGGAATTCATTAGTATTGACAACAGAAAGCGTGGATGAGGACTATAAAAATGCATTCAATGAGGAGCTAAATGCATGTATTTATCATCTCATCTTATTTCCACATTCTCCAAACCACACTAATTTATTTCACATTTGCTTTAACAATCACAGGATTTGTTTGATAACGATGTTTTCCGCAAAATAGTTCGACGCATCTTTGACATGACACGCGATATAAGAACATTTTATCGTATATGCGTAAGTATTATTAAGATCTACATTTCTAACACGACACGACAAATGGATTTTTCGTACTCATTTTCATTCGTATTTGATCGTTATGCAGTTTAAGCCGGTTGCCCAGTTATCACAAGCGTCTCCATTTTTAAAAGCCAGTCACTTTCAATCGTCCAATGAGCAACAACAAAGTGATTCCAGAACCCAGCTTATACGCGGTATGCACGTATCCTAAGGACCGTTGTGCCTTGACTCTTCGCGTTTTGTTTTTCTCTTTCTAATTAATCTGAATTCCCAGGCCTATCCCTTCTGGAGATTTGCCTCCTGGTCAGCATAAAGCATCTATTATCTCGGTCCTATTCCACGTTTAATTTCTCCATGGTTTATGACGAATACAAAGAATTCACATTCTCGGAAGCAGTAAAAGGTGTCGGTATGCATGCTTATAAATGGCCGGTAGCGTTGAAGGCTTTTGAGCATCTAATCCAGATGGAACTCGTAAAGCCTGTAGAAGGAGGAATGAAATGTTCAAAGGAGTATAGAACGATGAGATTGATGATGGAACCAGCGGAGGTTAGAGAGGTTGTAGAGGGATTTGATGACGTCCCGACTTCGGTTAAAAGGTGGGTACAGAATTAAAGCGCGTTGAGTGAATGGCTATTAGAGCGAAATGGTACTGTACATATATGGTTAATGCGCATTATGTAATGTTACGATTTATCATACTATATAACTAATAAATCATAAGAATTTTTATGGCTTATACAAACTACGCATAAAGTTCACGTTATGCATAGTGTAACTAACACTTGTCTGCATTTTGACTTTCAATCAGTTGAACTTTACACTAAAGCTAACGCTTAAGGTACAACCTTGTCGATTTTTGTTACTATATGTTTTGGTATTAGTATAATTGTTAAATTAACCAATTTATAGAATAAGAAAGTCAACTTTTGCTATAAGTCGATTTATAAACGAAAACCGAACCATTCGCTATTAACTACATATGGATCCTTCTGCAGACGCAGTAAAAGGGTTGTTGAGTTGAAGTCCGTCGTTACAGGTGAGAATTCCAAGTACTTGTTGAACTGTTATGTTACGCTGCCACTGGGTGTGTATCGGGAAATTGAAAGCGCATTGTGACTACAGTTTGCCAAAGTTACCGGCCAGGTTCAGTACTGGCTATGGGTGGGTGGCTTACTGTGAACATTCTTCTCCGTTACCGCAAACTTAAAGTGTCCCGCCAGAACCTTTTGAATAGGATACATAATATTATACAGTGGCTCACCGATGATATATCTTGATATGATGATATGATATATGTACTCATTTTTTTTATTTTATTAGACATGAACCAGGCAACGGTGGTATTGATTTTTAATGGGAGATTTTTAGAGAACGTACAATAATAGTACAGTGTAAGGTAATATTTCTTACAAAAACGTATATAATAAAGTTCTTATTTATTTATTTATTTATTTATTTATTTATTATAGGGTAAGAGTAGAAGATGTAATTGCACTTGAGTGTTCATCAAGATACGACAAAAAGACAACTACCGGTATCTTGATAGTCAAATCCGAATATTAAATTTATATTAACCTCAATGCGTTTTCAATAATACAGAAAAGAATTCTTTATATACTCAATGCATTACGTGGACGGAATCTATTTCGTTGATCAATACGATAGATTCACAATTCCCGATACACCATTACAGCTAGAGAATCGCATCCACTCGAATGTTTTTTTTTCCATTCATTTTTATAATTTGGTTATAATTTTTCTTATTGTATAAATCTCAACCAAAATAAGGAAGATGTAACTAATTACATCTTTGCATCAACAAATGAATACTAAACGTCTGCTTCAGTTTATCAACTGATTAGATGATAGAATGCGCTCTTATAGAAACTTTTTAACTTCAACACTGAAGTTCTGATTTAGTGGGTCCTTTATTCCATACATTCTGAATAAAATTATCAAATACAACATTTTCACTTTTTAACTTGTCTTTTCACCGGATAGATTATAAACTAAAACTTGTAAAACGCGAACAAGTGGATTCCAGCATTTCCAAGATTTACACCGTCTCTAATATTTTTGAGTGACTGATATTTGCTTGAATCAACATTTTGCAATTTCCTTTCGTTTAATAACTAGAATTAATATTCTAAAAGGGGGCTGGATCAGTATAATAATTCTGTTAATCACGAATAACAGAACTAAATTCAAAACAATTATATTATAAACTACCTTATCCTCGCGAGTTACACGACTTGTGACGTCATCGTTCCATCGAATTTTTCCTGACTTTAAATATTATTGCATTACCGCAACCGTTCGTCCTCTCTTTTCACCACTTAATAAACAATCGATCATGGTATGCAATTATAAGTATAATAGTGCAGAGTTGTGAACTTACATAGCTTGGAGAGTGACTGGTATATTACAAGAATGTCAATAGGAAGAATGAGTAAATGGATGGATAGATTTCAAAAGTAGTTGAAGGTCGATACAAGTCAAGAACTTGTAATTTGAGGTGATCTCACAGTTAATTCCGTAGAGGCTGAATGTCAAGGAAAACAAAATACCCAAAAGAGTTCACATAAATTTCACTTATACGATGACTTGATACCTTTTGATCACTTGGCGTATATCAATGATTAAAATTCTAAAGCATTCTCTAATTCCATCTTATTAGGGTATTGACATTGACAAACATCATGTCAAAAAGAGTGCTCGCACAGAGCCAAAGAGTGAAAATGTCTACCTCAGATTGTTGGTGAAGGTAATTCGCAGATTTAAATTCATTCTGTCGTATAGATAAAAACAACTACTAGCATACGTCGTAAAATCGTGGAGATTTTAATCCAGGATATCAGGACGCTGATAGATTATTACGTTGGGAATCTGATGACATTTAATTGTGGACGATACATCAAATTTACCTTTCTTTATCTAACACGATTCGTTTTTTTCTTTAACTTTACGGATCGCCAAACTCAGTTATATAAATTTTTAGCCCGCCGCACGGATTCCCGCTTCAACAAAGCAGTCTTGAAACGGCTAATGATGTCTCGCGTCAACCGTGCCACCCTTTCTCTGTCCCGTATTAATCGATTTATGAAAGATAAAGATGGCGGCCAAACTTGCGTGTTCGTCGGAACTGTTGTTGACGATGATCGGTTACTTGATTTCAACTTGAAAAATACCGTGTGTGCATTACGCTTCACGAAGACGGCAAAAGCAAGAATACTGAAAGCCGGCGGTGAGGTCATCACTTTTGATGAGTTGGCAAAACGCGCACCAACTGGATCGAAGACTGTACTATTGAGAGGAAAACGAAGTGGGCGCAAGGCACTCAAGCACTTTGGAAACGGACCTAAATCACACTCCAAGTATGTTTTGGTTTGCTTTAGAGAGGAGGGTACGGGAAGGAAAAGTGGATGTTTGGATTACGGTTTACTGATGTTTGAGAGTCGAGAGTTGTACAATGAGTGGTTTCCGCGTGTGAGTCAAACATGAACTAACAGTCTTATTACGCTTCTTGATTATCCCATTACCTTTCTTTTTCCTATGACCACTCCTGAAATTGTATTACATAATCTTGAAGACCATATGTTCGATCCAAGGGCAGGAAATTCGAAAGGGCTCGTGGTCGCAGAGCGTCTCGTGGCTACAAAGTGTAACGAAAGTAATCTGCAATTATGGACGAATATAATAAATTTAACAAGTTCTATTATTACTCACATGCGTCTATTGTGTCAAATGAAACGCCACTTATTTACACTGTAAAAATAAACAATAGAATAAGAATAGACGATAATGAGTTTTTCACAACTCGGTTGACAAAAGTCAGTTCTGGCCTCGGTGGCTGTCCCGTATTCGATTAGGATTCGAGTTTCAGTAGCTGTGTTGCCGCGTGATACCTTGATTGGGTTTGGCGATCATGGTCAATATAAAAATGCAAGCCTGTGTGATGACCGGCGAGCCTCCACAACATCCTAAACAAGCACATTATCAAAATTAAAAAATACCAAAGGGGGATCGTCGCGTTTTTCTGGATACAGGAGATGAAAAGCTGTAGTGGTTCTTCGTCTTTAAAATCATCTCTTTTTCTTTCAACCTCAGCAATCGCTATTCTGAACGTATTTTATATACTTGGTCAAGCGAATTCCCATTTTCGTGCAAAGTATGAAATCGGCAAGACATAAGACAACTGACAAACCAATTCCTAATAAACCCACAAACCCAGCGGCGGTGACATATTAACTATTTTATCGTACTTTATTTTAGATTTTGTAGCTTCCGGGTACCACCACAATTATCGTTAGACTTGACTACCACCAGACATAGCTACTCCTATCACCACCAATGATCCTCTCCATAAAGTCCTTTATTTGACAAACTCGAGCGCGTGCACGAAAATTTGCTGCCAGATTAATCGCTATCACTATCGCTAGACGAGTCGTTCTTGCCTTCATTACCAGCAATTGCTGCTGCAAGACCTTGTTCTCGCATGAGCTTCATTTGCCCTTGAAATGATTCTTCGTCTGGCTCAGAAATTTCCTCATCAATTTCTGGTTCCGGGGGAAGATCAGCAGGGTCTCTGACATTAAGCTAATGATAACAAAAAAATCATTTAGCCAGTGAAAGTTGTGCAAGCTATTATTCGTCGCCACTGGTTAAAAACCCATTTGATCGTAATTACGTGGTACATCCTCACCTTCAAATCCTTTTTGAGATCTAAGCCGATATAAGAATCACACTTAATGAACGCCGTATAAGTATAAATATTGGGCTGTAATGGTGCTTGGAACATTAGCTTAATAGTTTTGGATGTTACAATGTCGGTGACCTTCACTGGGTCAGCGATTATCGCGTTTAGCCTTTCATCAGCTATAAAAATCCACCAGCACGGTTTCTTTTCCCGAGGGTAGTACGGTGCATGTGCGAACACACACGGTTCGGTATCTTTTTCTTTAAATATTGAGTAGTCGTAGGTTTTCTCTTCGTCATCACCCAGAATTAGTAGGTTGTTGTTAGATCCTGAAACTATTTCGGCTTTTGCTTTGGATTTTTTAGCATCAGTCTTGGAATCTCCGCTGTCTATTATACTCAATGTCACCGTGAAAGTGACTATAGAACCTGGAGTCACGTGTTCTTCCCCAACAACTGCATGAACGATTTGTAAAGCAAAATGAGTATAATAGAAACCTCAAACGTCGGACGTTTAAATAATCTACCTCTCAAGTCAACATCGTCCAACTCCATCATTGGATACGTTTGAATGACACGCAGTATGTTACCATACTTTTCGTCAGTAAAGTCACGTAATACGCCTCTAACGCAGTCAAGAATAAAATATTCATTTCAATAACCAGTCAATCAGCCTACAAGCATAACTGTTGTCACTTACTTTCTCTCTTCATCGTTCATTTGTCTCAACTGTACAATACTTTTGATATTACTCTTCTTATTCCGTATTTTTTTAAGTGTTTCGTGTGTTATATGTGGTAATTGAACAATAGGGTTCTCTTCTATCCATACCGCTTGCACCAGTTGTTGTGCAAAATTCATACAACAAATCGTGGTTGAGAGCCAATGATGGGCAAGGGAAATCTCAATTAATCCATTAATAAGATGGAGTGATCTATCTATTATGAACTTCTGATCTGTGATAATTGATGGGGAAAAGTCAGTTTTCGGTAATCACACAATCGTTACACGTTAGGCACAACTCGGTACCTTTTAAAAGATTCTCATCTTCAACTTGAACTCTTAAGAGATGAGCACATAATAAAGCATGTGCTTTCTGACAGTACGGACTATTGTACTATCACGTCATTAATAGTAAGTAATGTTTAATATTAAATCCAAATGTTACAAATTCATGCTATAATGCTCACCTTCTTACTCTGCTCATACTTTTCTCCAAATCTTTTGTCCAACTCGCCTTTGATTGCAGATATTATCTTTGGCACAGTCACCTGGTCTGATGGACGTTGTTCAACTAATATCTCAAATTCCGTCGCAGCTGATAAAAGCTCTAATAACGATTTAATGTCAGCCTTTCTGTCAAGGCCTTTAAAAAATATCTTCATTGTATTTGTCAGAATCTTTTGCTTCGTATACATATTGGAGGTGTACCACCAGTTGCCCTAAAATTTGTATGAATTGTGCGATTAATATTAATGGTAAATGAAAAACAGCATATCAAATGGCAATAAAATGATAAGGCATATTGACCACATAGTGTCTCGACGCATACCACATAGTAGGGGAGTAATACTCCAAACAGAATCGCATATACTCCAAGAACGAATACGTTATTTTGTGCTTCAACTATCCATTTTGGTAAAGCTATTCCCATTGTGTATGCTGCCATTAAGAAAAACAGTAAAATGTAAGCAATCGGTAATTTTAACCCACACGAGTTGAACCTGGACAGTACCTTGTTTCCCATCTGGATGACCCCATTCTTCATAATTCCTTCTGGTCTCTTCATCCGTTAGGCTAGATCGATGTAACAGAAATGGAATTTGTAAATCGAACGATTCTCCTGTTTGTGAATCATAATTGGTTTACATACACTTTGTATGCCTTAGTGAATTCGATAAATATGGCCTCAGCCTCTTGCTTATTCTCTTCTGAAACCTTATCAGGATGCCTAAAACACGTTAATATATAAATAAATACTTTGATTTGTAGTCGGTTACAATGTCAACATTGAATATTACAACGTACCATTTCAGACTGAGCTTCTTATAATGCTTTTTAATCTCCTCCAACGGTGTTCCCTTTTTAGACAACAGGTTCAGTTCGAATTCCAAGTTGTTTACATCAAATATAGACTTTTTTTGACTTTGATCATACCTCGCTCAACCCTAACACTTGATACGGATCCCAAATCTGATAATCGACCGTTGTATTGGATATTTGATAGCATATATACGCGAACAGAGCCCAGCCTATTCCCAAGAACACGGTCCTGTGAAAATAACAATGAATGCGAATGATCATTTGTGAGGGTGGAAGACGTTTCAACAACTGTGGAGGAAGTGAGATCGTACTTTTTATTAATTAAACCGGGACTGGACTTGATTTTCTGCGTTTTGATATAATCGTTGTTTATTTTACAAGCATCACAAGAACAACCGATCGAGCGTGTTTTCTGGTCTATTGAGGGGGACACAGAATTATCATTTTTAAAAATTAGAACAGAAATAGTGAACATGCTTCGAACACGTAAAGTATATGGCGGATCATAGTAATTAGTCTCTCCCCGTTATTTAACAGCTAACACGTCCTCCTCTAATGTCCGTAATGTCATTGCACATTACTGCATTTGAATGTTGTCCACTTTCTCTCGTCTCCTTACTCTTGCGGCTATTATAACCTGACTCCCCTTTGACATTGCGCACTTTATACTCTCCCGGACAGCTAAACCTAAAAACGATTACGACGATCCAAAAACTTTATCCAACGAACCCTTGTCTTTCTTGAAAAGTCCCAGCGTAGTCGGAATAAGAATGAGAGACAATATTGTCAGTAGAAAGTAGTTGAACGTGACACCCTGTTCGTCGTAAGTATATTGTGCCATGATTTATCAACGAAAGAATCGAGGAGTCGTATTTAGTCAGTTTTTTCAGCTGACCGGCATATTAATATATTATTAAATCACATGTGAAACCGTATTACCAAAAATTTTCTAAATGAATATAAATTACGCAATTTATCCCCATACCAAAAAAGCCTCAATTGTATAAAGCTTAAAAACAATAACAAGACTGACTTGACTCTAAAGTGTTGTTAAAGCAAATATTAATATGGCCACACTTTGATTGCCGCTCAGCATGAGCGAAAGGAAAAGTTCACAAGTTGATGTTGGTCTGAATGAAAGGCTGAGCAAAACCAAATGACGTTTTATTGAACGTGTGTGCATGATTTAGTTTTGTGAATGGTTTAAAACCGCTTTTGGCATATGCACATACTTTGCCCGTGAAACTTCAGAAAGTTAAGTTAGAACGTGTTATTTCATTCGCGTTGATCCACAAAATCCAATTTACCTTTTGCAATCTGCTTTCGCTATGTAATTGAAATACGCTGGCTTACCCTAGTTGGATATTCCGAGCTGCCTGTGTTGGACTGACAATGTAACCGACTCCTCCCAGCTGAAGAGATTCCCCTTTTTGATATGAAGTCTTTGGCGTAAAGAATGGGAACACGTGCTTGCTGGAAATATCACGTAATGATCGGAATGGTGTGGTTCCCAAGTAAAAGATGGTTTGCACGCGATATAATATAAAAAAATTATTGACTGAACTTCTTTTTACAAATAAATTGTTAAGACAATGGGTTGCGGCGAGAATTAAAAAAGAACAAGGTGTTTTGTTTTCATGACAAGAGATAATAACAGAAGCAGATATTGAGGATTGAGAATTTGTGGCATAGTTTAAATTGGGATATAAAAATTGGTTTCATAATGACAACAATAATCGAAAAGGATAACATTACTATTACACGGATTAATGTGAAAATTGGTCTTATTATCTCAATAATAATGCCCCCGACATGTGGGCAACATGCAAATACTTCTTTAAGCAGAAACTTTAAATAACATTCCCTGCAAGTCAATAGAACAACCCGAGATCTTTTCCCATCCACGTTTACCACTGGAATCGATTGCATAGTTATCGATGAGGCAAGCGAGTTTTTAGTCTCAAAGGTTGGATTTGGTAAATGAATTCGGTAATATCGAAATTTCGTCATGATTATAATTAGTATATATTATTATGAATGTCGAAAAACACGACGCTTATGTTTTTCATTACAAATTGCTGTCACAAAGAGCCTCACATTCAATCATGTCTAGCCAACATAACAGTAATGATTGTATAAATGAATGCCAAGACTTGAGATTGCGGGATCAGCCGATCTAATGTTGATTACAAAAAGCATAATATTTGCATTTCTATATTGGGCAATAACATTAAGTCTGACGATGCGATCCTACTTAAACTTTCCCATAATCTGCTCGTAACAAACTCTCCAAGTATCGTGGTATCTCTTTTCATCAATCTCTCTCAACTTTGCGCTCTCCTGCTAGTAAGTAGCACTGGATTTCTAAATCTACCTCACGAATCGATTGTCAACACTTTTATCGCAAAACATTGAAACGTCAAATTCACGTTAATGACCGTGCGTTCAACTCCCTATCTAATGGCAGAGTGTGTGTAATCCGATAACGTGCGCAGGATTAAGACTACATCATGAATACGACTATTACTACGAGCAATTTTTAAGCATGATACATATGATTGTCAAGATTCCAAATAACTTTCATTGCCCATTCGAATATAAGAATTTATCAGAGATTAATAAGTACTTTTTTATTCATACAAGTTAGATTCCATGATAACAACCGTAAAATGAAGAAAAAGAAAAATTCAGCCTGGAATGAAGAAAACTATTTATAATATGAAAAAAATTTTAATATAACCAACGACAAGAAGTATATGCCGAGTATTCACAGAATACCTCAATGATGTCGCCAAACACCCACGTTCGTTACAAATTGACTTATACCTAAATCTTACCAATAAGGCGCTGATGTGCCTCGCTCAACAATTTTTCCAACTCTCTCACCCTCTGTTCTCTCTCTTCGCTTCTCTCCTCTAAATTCTTCTTCTCACTTTCCAATACAGCAATCTTCTTCTCTAAATCATTTGTCTTTTCTTTTAACTGACTGACTTCCACTTCAAGTGACTCCATCTTCATAACCTTTCGAAGACGACTACGTCGCGCGGCATCGGTATTCTTTGCGCGCTTGATGGCCAGTTCTTCGGCGAGAGAGTCGGAGGACTTCTGCATCTCGGAGCTAGAGCGTTTCCGTGATCGGGATGGAAGTGAAATAGAAGTCGATGTAGAAGATGCCGGTGATGAAGGAGAGAAAGGGGCGTTTTGAACAAAAGGTTTCCGTGACATTGAAGTCTGTTGAATTACTCCATTATTAGAAGTTAATGAAACAACACCAGATGTTTTGTGTACGCCAACTCCTATTCTTCTAGTACCAAGCGTATACACACCCGGATTGGGTGCAATTTTTGTCAATCTCGTATTGAGTTTTGCTTTCCCACCCAAATCTTCCGTTATCTGATTTTCATCTACAGTCCAAGGGATGGTTACCGAAGGCGATAAACCGGGTTGGATATGAAAAGATGAAGATGAAGATGAAGACGAAGAGGATGAAGATGAAGAAAGAGTTCTTGAGATAGCAGCCGTATGTGATGCAGTAGGCTGAGACATCGTGAGCGATGTAGACGCAGAAAGAACAGTAGAAGGTGGAATGGCATTAATCACGTCATCTGCCATACTCGTAGGAGCACCAGTAAGCCGGTCCAAGGACGAGATTCCAGCTGTGTTGTTAAAGGTGTTGGATGCCTGCACTGCGTTTCCCTCTGCCAACTCTGGAAACAACTCGCCCATTTCATCGACATGGCCACTGATATTTTCAAACAATGGTGATCCAAATAGATCGCCTATGCTTCCAACTTTATCGAAACCTACAACGGTCATCGGACTCGTTACATCACTCGATAGAATCGGAGACACGGTCTGACTGTTAAGCGTGGTGTGCGAAGCGGTGTCATCACTCTCGTGAAATTTGTCGAAATCAGACGATAGCCATTCCTGGAAGAAAGCCGAGTCCATTGGTTTGGCCATCTCCGAAGCGGTCGAGATCCACTCTTCGAACAGAGTTGGCGACGACAAGAAGCCGGAATCGAGTGAAGTAGGCATGTACGACATGGTGGACGCGTTAAGAGTGTTGTTGGAAAATGTTGCAGACATCGGAGACATCGATTTGGAGGGAGCCGGAGAAAGGTAAGGCGATTGCATTGGTGGAGTGTTTGGGGTCGTAGAATTTTGGTGTTGTGTCATAATCGAGAAAGATTAAAAAATCAACCAAAACAAGTGGTCAAAAATAATTATACGTTTGATTAAAGATGTTCCAAAGGTAATATATCCAAGCCTAATTAAAGATGTTTGTGTTTTTTTTTGTTGTTATTTTACGATCTAAAAAGAATCAATTTCTGAAATAAAGCAACTAATCCTCAATTTGAACAAAGTAATCTCCAAACAGAAAGGGCAACCGTTAATACGTATTCCTAAAATACCAAGTAAATGAAATTTGCTTTATAGCACACTTTTGGATAGTTTCAACGATAGAGATATCCGTTGACGCTGACAGGTTATCGACACATTTTGATGAGTGGGGAGATGTGATATGGCAATCATTTTGCTTGCCGAAATAAACGATAAGAATGGGTTGTGTAAGAAATTGAGAAAGGAAAAAAAAAATTGTTGTGTGAAAATGAATTTGCTAGTATGGGTTAGTAATGTCAAAGCGGAAGGGAGCTTTGAAGTGGTTATTTAGAGAGTGAAAGCCATTGTGGAACTCGATATAAAGTTGATATGAGAAAATATTAAAATAAATAAAATAAACAACTAAGAAAGCTGGGAGGAGATGAAGAGTATTGTATAGCTATTTTGATAGTTGTGAGTACTTTGAAGTTTAGTAATAGTGGTAATAAGGTAGAAATAGTTTGGCAAGGCCGTATTGTTAGTGTGTTATTGGTAGTTACTATACTGACGTCTTATTTTTCGATATCTTGACGGGTACGTTGAAAAAAAGAGGACGAAGTTTTTCGCCGCTCCCCCCATGAAAAAAATTTTTATTGTTGTGGAGGCTGAGCTGTATCGTATTTACAAATTTGTCCAATAAGTTACATTAGAATATTTTGATTGGAGACATGTAAATTGTGCGAGGTATGGCAATTAACGGAGATTCGCGACCGGTCCGAATTTTACCCGTGGCAATCGTTTGTGACTGCGTCGAATTCATCCCCCCTTTGTTAACGTCGAATTATCTCTATCTATGGCAACAATGTTATTGAAACCCCTGATTATGATGTAATCTAAATTCAATGCCTTACAAAGCACGAAATAGATCTATATAATACAACCATGTCGAAATAAAGACATCCCAACTAGGCGATACACGGAATGTAAATAATAGCAGGCAACTGCCGCATCTATCAGCATGCGGCACAGCAAGTGAGAACACAACGTCAATAGCTTGGGTATAGATACGGACTATTATAAAACAAAAATAAATTCGATCTGTAATAGGCGCAAGTAATAGATATATGGTTCTCACATCACACCGCTCAATAGTTACTTTTGGAACTATCTAACTACAACTAAACCCCATCTTTTTGTTGATGAGTTTTCTTTAGCGACCTGTAAATTGATCCAAAATCGATTGTGGTAAATGTAATAGTCGTGGGGATATGAGATCCTGTAGTTCGTGTTGTACCTGACCTGCAGTCTATGCATTTTTGAAATGACAAACTCGTTTTCATTTAGCGTGCATAAATTAACCCATGAATAGCTAAAATCGCGTATTTATAGTAACAAGAGTTATTTCATCTGAATCAAACAGCCCATATAAGGGTAACGGTCTACCATTTGTCATTATTGTTCTCTATTTGCTATTGACTATAATAATAAGAAAATCGTTTATTTTAAGAGCTCGCCTTTTTAACAGAAATCGTTATTCATGTTAATTGTTTGCATATTTGGATTCATTAGCGTACTGAGATTAGTGAACTTAAATTACAGGAGAGAAAAAGCAGAGCTCACCGACGTTTCGGATAGTCAATTCCGAAAATATTCTATAACTGGGCAGCGTAAACGCAATTGACTCTTTATGTTACCAAAATAAGCCTTGCACCTGTGCAAAAAGGGAAATATTTGCGACTCACGAGAAACCTCTTTCCTATACAGGAAGGAAACATAGCTTCATTGTGGCGTTTTTATCAATAAAAAACAAACAGTGCGCCAAACAAACAAAGTAGATCAAAAAATGCACTGGAAATTAAATTATTTTCTTATGCAAGATCGTAAGAAGATCGATCAACAAAAAATTGTGTTCCATTCTAAACCATATTTCGAATGGGAATCTCTGCTATATACGTGCATGAATTGAGGCAAATAGCGATATAGCTAAATTGCTTTACGTATATGCCATTTATTTTACATGATTGAATTACCCATTTTCACATCATTAGCGCTTCCTCAACAGCTGCAATCCTTTGCACCAACGATCTAGCGTTATAAGGAAATAACCGCCGTCTCATCAATGATTCCGTTGTTTCCCTTAATTCGACCATCATGTTAAGAAATCTGCTGACGTTTTCACCTTTCTCATGATTATCCTGATTTCTACAAAAATCCTTAATAACAGCGTCGCCCAGTCTTTTCTCATTCCCATGTCCTTCATTATTTTCAATGTAATCCTTATTATCATTACCAATATAATCTCTATTTTCATTACTACTATCTCCCTCGTTGTGATTCCCACTCTGATTCCCATCTTCACTATTATCCACATCTCTATTCTCATCCTCATTCTCATTTCCAACTTTACCAGCATTCTTATCATCGTCATCCTCATTTCCACTCTCACTCCCACGTTCTACGCTGATTCCCACCATATCGTTCATCTCATATTCCACAATAAACCTCTCGACATCCCCCAATAAATACCTCATATACAGGACAATGAATTCGAGGAATCTAGTCTCGTTTGAGATAAGAAAATCAAGCAGTATCGAATGATCGAATCCAGTAGATTGCAGGAATCGAAGGAAAAGAACGTGAGGCGGACAAAGAGTGACGAAGCAACTAGTTAGACGCGAAAGGGAGGGCTGAGTATACAGCAAACTGCGTGAATGTGAGAGACAAAAACGGTTAGAACCACAGTTGACAAGCATCAATATGACAAGTTTGATGATCGTTAATAGAACGTGGTTGTTCGAATTTCAGTGATGGTTAGCCACATATTATACTATTCCTACGAAAAATATGACTCTTCTGATCTGATCGATAATACTCACATTTCTAGCTTTTTCCGAGTCTTTTTGATTGCAAGCTTCGTCATACTTAACATGATGTCAAACATATCCGCATCGTTATTGTTAAACAAACGAAACACGTATTCGACTACTGTCTGATCACTTGGTAAGCCTATATCTTATATAAAGAAACCGGGCAGTTGGTTTTAGTCGGGAAAGGGGGAAAGCAGGAAGCACATTTCTCTGCTATGACGGTGGTTTCCATACCTTCAATAACATCAAGCACACATCTGATTCCCTTCTGGATACCTTCATTAGCAGCGTATTCATCAATATCGTTTCCAAGTTTATCACAGAACACTTCTACACTTCTCATATATATCATGATAACTCGTTTCAAACATTCTGCATCATAAGGGATGAACGCGGAATCATCGCTTTGCCGTTGAGAAAAGAAAAATCCCGTGTATTCGGTTGGAGATGTCAGAACAGAGAACGTCGAGTTCGTTAGGACGGATGTGAGGTAAGTTGTGTATGGATTTAGAGCTGAGAGGAGGAGTGAGATCTGTAAATGAATAATAGGTTATGAAAAATGAGGCGTGAAGAGCATGTTTTTCGCCTGTCGAAATACCATTAACTTATACTGTGGTAACAAGTAAACGTACGTACCGTCGATGTATTATCAGTTGACTTGATCGTAAGTAATATCAACTCTAATAATCTTCGTATAGCTGTTATATGTGGAAAGGTCATCAGTGTGCAAATCTGTAATGTATGAGTAGAACAATCATTAAGCATTACAAATGTAGTGGGCCGTTGCCAGTATGCAGTTGGTGGCAAACTTACCTTTGGTAGATTATTGTTTATGACGTCCAATATACTGTCAATGGCGTCTATCGTTTCAAGGTCATCAACCTCCAATTCAGACATTAATAGCTTTAATTTGATAACGTCCACTAATACTGTCAAGCATGGCACGATTACAAGATAGTCGTTCCTCTAGAGTACAATGACGCTTTCGTAAGCCAGTGTGATCAGGATCCCTCATACTGAAGGCTAAAAATTAACATACCCTCCATTCATTACGCGATACTTGTATCCAATCGCTAATTGTCGTAATCCACGCCCAATAGTCCCCTATTATGAGTTGCGATCCAGTATGAACACTTGTTTCTTCATCTTCAACCTCCAAATACGCTCTGTAATGCTTCAGCACATGATGATATATATCCAAAATTGTACTCGATGCCGAGTAATCATGAATGGGTACACTCTTAATATTATGAGATTGTGGTAACGATAATAGGAGATGTGAATGTATTAACGTGAGGAGAGAACAAACTGACTGTCGAATGCAGAAATTTTGATTAGTTTATTATCATAACATTTCATTAAACCTTGACGATACATACTTGTCTATTAGGGAGTAATAAGAACCGCGTAATACACTTTCTGATTACAAATCTAACGAATTGGTTATCTGTCGACAGGAGATAAAGCTGCAGATTTGAAATTAATTTGAGATAAAGACAGATAACTTGAATCACAACAAAGCGTGTGGCGAAGACATCGTTTTTGCCTTGCTTTGCATCGACCGAAAATATTCTTCGATCTGTTCATCGGCTAAGCCATCATTCAACTGTGAGCTTATACTTGATATTAGCTGAATGTCGTTTGCATCGTCATCCGTTTCCATAATCAAATTAGTGAAAATGTCTCGAAAATTCATCATGATTCAATAGTAATCACATGACTCTAGCCTTTATGAACCAATAAATGACCTCTTTTCAGTTGCGGCGCGCACCTTTAATTAAAAATGATCTTATCTCCATTATAACTAGCTAACACACGGAATATGTCGATAATGTAAAACGTCTTGATGATGACATGAATTTTCTCTTAGATAGGATGAATCTTAATATTCATTAAGAAATTAACGCGTTTGCAAAAGCAATAATTCGAAAAGTTGTGGAACGATCTAAAACGAGTATATGAAATAAGATCCAAGTTTTCATGACGTTTAAGTCAATTGGCAAACGAAATTCAATAGGTTATACTCATAAATAGCTTTGAGACCAATCATTTCTTCCTATGTGATCATTCTGCTTTTTATCTTTTCAAGAGCGCTCGGTTTTTTTCTCGGACATTCTATGATTAAAATAATAAAATTTATGCTCACGAGAAATTGAATTATTTTTACTCTTTGATCGCAATCATATCAAAAGAGCAAAACGCAAATCATGCTCTCAAGCAGCCGTTTGTCAAAACGATCTTTTGTTGATAAATCACCTTGATCAGTGGAAGCCTTGGTGCGAAAGTTTTGCATCAGATTTACTTTTCTTACGTTCTTTCTTGGTCTATCATAAATTGGTGGTACGTTCGTTTATTGTTTGTTTTTCCGTTCTTTTGATAATTTAAAGTAAATTTTTTTAAAATGCTTTTAATTATAATAGAGTTATCATTCTTTGAACTTCACATATAGAGATGAGCCTATATGAAATATATTGTAATAGTTACTTTTAAAACGTTTGATGATATTGATTAAAAATCAATTAAACTTTAGTTGACCCAAATCACAGTTTAAGTTATGTCACTCAGCAAAGTCTCCCCAATGTCATTTTTAGCTCACATGGTCAAATGTTTGCTTGGTCTGGTTTGTTGTCCAAATAATAAAAAGGTTTTACTGTTATGTGCTCTGTAATGCAACATAACGCGCGTCACATTGTATAGTCCAGCAAGTAATATATTCAAATGCATCTGTGATAGGAAATATTTTCTCACGTAATTTATTTGAAAAGCGTTTCGGTTAAGCTTAACGCAACCATTAGATTTTCGACGTCTAATATTATTTATTGCAGCGAGTCAAGTGTGTGCGTTGTTAGAATATTTCTTTTCGCTCAACCGACAATTGCGGTCAAATTTTAACAAAAGACAATAAATGACCTCTCGCACGCGCGATTTACTTATAATTTAATAAACAATTTACTTTATGAGCAAGTCTGAACATAATTTTCTTCTCGATTAGTAGTTGATTGTTAAAGATACAGGCGTGACATTTATCACGCACCGGATGATAACAAATGATAAGAATAATTCGGTAATATTAAACTTTATACAATTTAAACGACCTTTGTACGAATCGCGGAATACTACAAAATCTCGTTCATGTCATTACAACGTAGCGCAAAAAACTCGAATCTAATCTAAGTAGAAGTGTAAGGCGTGCTAATCGGAAGGTATTATCCATTTTATTTAATAGTAATTTACATCCCCCCTTCCCAATATGTCATTATTATGTACAGAATATACGTGGGCCTTTCAAAGAGTACCCCTCCTTTTAAATTGTCCGTATTTTTACGTATGATATCCATCATATGGTGGTGGATAGTATCCTGCACCAGACCCTTGTGCATTTTGCATGTTACGTGTTCGCTGCGCGTCACGTCGCCTAATGCGGCGAAGTTTGGCCTTTTCCCAGTCCTGCCATCGCTTCATCGGTATTTTAGAAGTATCGAATTCTCCCTCATGGTTGTCCGCATCATCGCCTTCGCCTTCTTCTCCTTCAACTTTCCTAGTTTCGCCCCACGAGAAGTCGTCAAAATGCCAGTAAGCATATATCGGCAGAACGAAATTCCATACAGGTAAAGCCAACAAATATAGTGCCATCCATGAAATATACACAATCTTTCCTCTTGTTATGAGAACGAGAACAGCTGGAAGCCCAAGCACCGCCACCAGCATAATGAGAGGAATAGTATCGGAAAAGTTTTTTGGTGGATGTATGAACATGTTGATGATCAACGAGTACGTTAATACTATAGCGACAGGGAGCACACATGCACCGATTAGCTCCATAAATGCGACAAACTGCATAGAGAAGCAGAAAGTACCACAGAGATTGCGGACAAGTACCAATTCCATAAGATTATGAATAGTAGCATTAATCCATCGCCGGCGTTGTGAGAGTAAGATTTTGAGTTCATCCGGGACAATAGTCTTACATATAGCTTGCGGACAAAACATCATTTTACGATAAGGAAAGTGTCTCAACATCAATGTGGTTAGGAAACGATCTTCACCGAGAAGTAGCAAGTTTTTCTGATGCAGAGTCTCAACTTTGTCCCGAGCGTATTCTATAACGATTTCCGGTTTTACAATGACAGGAACCCAGTCATCGTTGCCCTTGCGAACTTTGAGCCTATACATACAGAAACAACCAGGGAGACAAGTAACACCACCAAACACTGATTCAAAGCTTTTGCTAAGATGATGATTGATGTAGTATTCAAAGACTTGAATTGCTGTGATCCAGGAATCGCGTTTGTTGGCAATCTTCGTTTCACCGCAGAGCCCCATAATCAAAGGATCATTGCACATACAGTTAACGAGTAAGCGGAGAGAATTTGGGTACACTTTTGTGTCCGCGTCAACCTGTAAATTGGGAATGATTAGAGGATGGCTCTACGTAAAAATGACAGTAATAACGTAACGCATAATGCATTAGGTTGACACTAACCATTAACACCACTTCGAAAACGTCGGGAGTAACCCCCATAAGATGATGACACTTTGTAAAGAGATCATAATCAAATTCCGTCATCCGATCATTATATGTAACACGACTGAAGAAATGCATCAACATCACTTGTGAATCACGCTTGCCACGATTTCCCGGCTTCAAACTGCCTTGCTCTTGTAGATTACCACACTTAACGACGGTAATCATAGGAATAAACCGATTTTCATATTGGTAATGTCCGGCGTATATTTTGGCTCTGTTATGTCGTTTGTTACCATCACCGACTGCGATGTAACTCTTTGGTTCTGGATCAACAAATTCTGGAAGGAGTCTCATGAAGCGAACACAAATATCTGGAGTGCTGTAATTATTACCGCTGCCGGTAATCACGCCGTCACATATGAAGAAAAGCAATTTGCGATCATCTGGATATGTCGTAGAAGCCATAGACTCGCAAGTAATGCGTAAGCCTTCTTCACCTTCAGAATAGCAGGTAACGAGCAAGATTGTGTACAAATCATTGCCTATATTGTCAATTGTAATATCCTCAGTAACAATACCCAATTCGTTCCAGCGAGTAGTATCTCTGCCTTGTTCGGTTTCCGAAGGCAATTCCTGAAGAGACTTTACCGGCTTTGGCTCTTTTACAAGATAATCAGATATGAACCAGGTGAATACAATAGCCATGATAAAACGAGACATGACTACACCAAGCACAACAGTTAATGCTACGTATAGAACTAGTTGTGACACAAAACAACCAGCTGTTTCTTTGTCGATATAACCGGCAATATATTTAAGGGTCAAGCAAGGGATGGCATTTTTGAGATCATTGCGACTAAAGAAAAGGCGTGTGGCATCTTTTCCACCTTCAGAATGACTATTGAACAATACAGACCGAATGGCAGTATCTACAGCATCCGTTTTGTCAATTGGATTGTTCTCCATGTACAAATCCATATTAAGTACTTTATCATTGATAACCATATAGTTTCTCAAATTACGACTCGCCAATTGATTCCAATCATAACCAACTTTTTTTGTAGTGTTCAGGAGATTAAGACCTGTCAACGTGTTTGGTGTCAGGTCACCAGCAATGCAGGGTTGTTGTATGGCCGATGTGTTTGCACAGAAATTCTGTCTGACAGCTGCAAAACGTTGAAGAGCTGGAGCTTGGCATGTCTGTATGAGATTTAAATGACGAGTGAAATAGCCGGTGACATCTTGTCCATTTGCCTGACTCGCCAATGAATTAAAATCAACCTTGTCAACTTTTGATCGTGCTACATTGAATTGCCATCCGAGAATGCCTACGACACCTATGAGACGAGACGACCAAAGAAAATAATTGGTGAGAAAGACAACAGATAACAAGGCAAGGTGTTAAAATTGGTGGTTGTCGATAAATTTATAGTATCTCTTTGATAGAACAGGAACCATAGACGACTCTACCCATAAGTGTAATGAAGGGGATATGATCTAAATCATGATCAAAGAGTATTATAAGTCAATTACCAGAATTTTCGCCATATCGTAGGTATTCATCATTCTTCGCTTTAGATGCGGGACACGTAACAGGCGTAAAGCCTACAGTCATAAAGCAGACTAAGCCGCTCAATATAACAGCAATTGAACATAGTGCGATTTTTTCACGCCATGCTTGTTGCGATGCTTTATCGTGAAGACCACCGACAGACGACAGCAACGGACCAGGAGCCCAGAATGTGACTATATACGAGAATAACACCCACGCATCCCAGGAAGTAGAATCTTTTTTGCGTAATATAGGTTCTACTGGTTGAAAACGTTCAGGTCTATTGAGATGTCTGCTACGACGAGTGGAAGATCTTCGCACTTGAGCGTCGTCCATGTAAATGCTCAAGTTGTCAGGTGATACACATCACTTTTCGAATCAGGTAAGCATCCAACCGGGTATTATATATGTTTGAGATATTGTTACTTGCACTTTAATGCATAACAAACGAGTTTGTATCAAATGTGTTACCTTGAAAAATCGCCAAGCATCGCCAGCATCGCTTGGCATCTTTGAAATCTCCAAATTTAAAATGGTAAATAACAAAGTGAATGAAGTCGATCGAAGAATCAGACCATATTCTGTCTCATGAGTATCTGAACAGGCACAGCTCAAACGTCGATCTTGCTAGTTCAGTGTTACCTTAAATCCTGAAAAGTTGATACAAAGAAGGGTTAATATTAATAATAATAATAATAATAATATATTATGATAATATTAATGAATTGCCGATCATGGAACATTCTAATTCGAATGAACGATAATAGAGACCGACCTGTTGCTAATTTTAGTGTAGAAACGAACATCCCCTAAATTTGTATCATGAAACGTTCTAAAAAAAGAATGGTAATATTCCCTGCTGAGGAAAAATTACCTTTACTCTTGCAAGTGACAGCACAACATTCACTGTGTTTTGTTTAGAAGAGAGAACTGACACTGACGTCTCTTGCTTTGTACGGTTTATAATCTAATATTTTGTCACAAACTCGAGTGCTATGTTTCTCAACTTCAATCTTTGTGCTCTTTTTTTGCGTCTGGTTACCAGAACATCGGACCTCAGGTTTTTGCTCCAGTAAAGAGATTCACTTGTAAGTACTGTACTGAAACTCCAGTAGATTGATGGACACTTTTATTTAATTGGCTTTCGTCACAATTAGAAGTAAAGTAAATGTAAGTTCAGTACGGTCAACTCTCCTAAATACACACAGTCTGGTAGTCTCTCCTCGGCGATGATGCTCTCTATACTCCGCACATTGTGTAATGAACTCCGTAAATGCATACACGTTAAATATGGTATAGTTAGACACCAATAAAATCCACCGAAATTAAATACCTTGCTATTCTCAGGCCATAAGAATTGTTGTAACAATAACAATTACCATGAAAATCGTTAGCTCGTAAAATTTAATGTATAGTCACTCCACTTCAACAAGCGGGTTATTTTTTGATGTCGGGTCATATTAACACGGTTTTCTAACATCAAGTCACGTATATATTAATATAGACATCAATTGCAGACAGCTTCAATGTAAATTGTGACTGTTAATCAACTATTAAGAGCTACCCTAATCATCATCGCAATAAATTAATTGCTAGCTAGAAGATTGTTCTAAACCGTCATCACTGTTAATAAAAGAAAAATCAATATTTCTCATACCATCAAAAACTAAGCTTTTTACTCCTACAAGTAAACGCATAAAATGGCAAATATTTTTGCGACAAACAATATTTCAATCAATGGAAAATAAAATATAATTATTTATCAAGATTTTAATATATATGCATGCTACTGCTCGTTTCGTGATTGTCAAATTACAATAATCCCGTGTGCCAATAAATGATGTCAACACAATACATATTGGTGATGACCCAAATCCCAGAACGAGCTATAACGTATACCTTACATTTTCGGTCTCAACATCGCGCATTTAGACAAGAGTTGTTGTACAGTTGTTCGCGAGTGTATTTTTTGGGCAACTGCAATGAAAAATGTGTCTGTACTTTACAGTTAATGAGAAGCAACCTATCGTCGTCTTTTTTCGGAAAATACAATGAAGCAGCTTGTGACTTAAATATATTAATATAAGGTATGTTATAGTACGTGATCGGCATTAATAAAATTGACACACGTAACTAAGATTGTTGGCCTCCAACATAATATAAATTGGGACATAATTCTCGTTCCAAAAAATAATCAACTTGATCACAAACTTGAACCACAATGTTTGTGCGTAAATTGCAAGCTATGCGGATATTATTGCTATTAATCGTTCTGGTCAAAACTTCTGCGGTGGTGCTTGGATTTACCAATAAGAATAATACATTTAGTATCGACATATGTTCATGGAAATCTTGGTCCACTACTTTCCTTACGCATTCACTGGATTAACGCGGCTCTACAATCGGGAGGGTTTGAAGACATCTACCACGATGGAAAACTAAGCAAACGCAATTAACATTCCCAAATGGGGTCGTTTAAAGCGGGGCAACACAAGAAATCAGTCCAATTAAATTTCAAAGATTGGCGAAGTTAACCAATCTAATTACAAGATCATGTGTAACATATAAAGTTCAAAACAAGAAAATTCATAAATGACTCAAAAATTTTACTATGATAACTAGCCTTTGACTTCTAAGTAAAAATGTTCAGCATGAAATTTTACTCATATATATTAAATGTCAATAACTTAATTAAAAAATTGTTATTAATTTGATGATTTTATGTATTTGCCCCGCTTTAGCCATCCCCCAAATTGGGCAATAGGGTATACTACCACATGAATATGAGAATTCATAGCGGCTTTCATTTTGCTTCTGTACAAACTTGTATGCTCGCGCGCAACATTGTGTATGCTGTTGTTATTCTTATTGATATTTTTAATGAAAATAAAGAATAACTTTATTATTTATTATATTGAATAGCTAAATACTAAAACACTCACTAACAACTCACTAATACATAAGTATGTCATTAATTTATACCTCATCAGTAATTTCTGGCAACCGTCTTCTAAATTTTCCCCCCATAAATCAAGTATAGCTTCTGGATATTATCATTTCCACGAAGCTCTCCAGGCTCTGGATCAATTTTGGTGCAACTGTTGTACCTCAATTGGGAACCCTGTGGACTGAGTGTCTGGGTTCTGAACTGAGACAAGTCCTGAACTCAGACACAACACAACTTCATCTTCAGGAAGTTTACCCGAGATTGTCTGCCGCCTTCCAAACCAAGTTTCCCATTGTGAATTAACACTTTTTTCGGAAGACCGTTCAATCACCTTCAATTAATTTTACGTTAGAAAATTAATTGGACGAACACAATGACGTTATAATCGTATCGTATCAAACTATTTTATAAACAACAACAATACCGGAGCATCAATTACGACTGTTCGGGATCTCAATTTCTTTGTTCGCACATGAGACTAATAGTACATGTTATGTTAGTGAAAAACGAATAAAATTTATAGATTACACGCAACTGACTTACCTGAGTACTTTTCTCAACCTTGCGCTTTCTGTTTTTGTTTGTTACGTCTGTTCCCAGTTTTATTAAATTACCTGAAGAAAGACTGCTTTCTCCATGTAATCATTTATCCATCTACGAACAGTTTGAAGCCAATTATTTACGTCTGTGGCAGAAAACCTGCTATCACCTTTAAATCGAAGTAATTCCTGCTCATTTCGTTGTAGCTGCTTTAGAAGTTTGTCCGTTCGACCCTCACTAGTGATCAACTCCCAATCCGAAACGAGCAGTTCCATTGCTTCCTTCATATCTTCCCATTGCTCCTCTGTTACTCGTGCCTCTTTCAGACTGTAAACCTCTTTTTCCGTCATCGTTTTTCCTTTAATTATTCTTGGCCGAATTTTCGGGCAATGCTAAATTAAAGTATCGAAATTAAGTATATTGATTACTATTTTATCAAAGTTTGATTACATACTTCTTTTTCGATAATTTTTCTCGTCATTTGTAACCATGTCATGTTCTTGCTCCTCAATATTCTCTGCCTATTTACCATAATAAAAATAGCAATTTAATACAAAATTTAATCAGTATTAATTATTTTTATTGATACCTCGTTATCGCTTTGTTCGTTATCTTCCTCCGTTTCCACTATTTCTTCTAAATTGTCAGTACCTTGCCGGTGTAAGATTGAATAAGAACTTTCTTCAAAAGCTATATTCAAATCTTCTTCAGCCACGATGACATTATCGGTTAATTCATCCAAAAGCGCATAATGCGACCGTATATGAACGATATAAAGACGAGACGTAATACAAGTGATAATATCACAAGTGTTATTTCTTATGCTAAAACTTACAAACGTTAAGTAGCATATATTTATAACAAACTCAGTTGTTTATACGCAAGTAAGGTTGATATCGTAATGCCAACAAATGATTTTATAATGTTGTTACCTGGTTGTCTTTACTATTCCAATCTGACATACATGTCCATTCGGACAAACAGAACTGGCTCACATTTCAATGTAGCAGCAGCTGATCGGCTGATGTCGATAAACAAGTCACATGGTAAAATTTTCCTCCGCAGTAACCCTGACGATCGATGTTCATATAACAGTATAATGTAAAGACAACCAGGTAACAACATTATAAAATCATTTATTGCCATTATGATATCAACCCTACTTGCGTATAAACAACTGAGTTTGTTATAAATATATGCTACTTTAGCGTTTGTAAGTTTTAGCATAAGAAATAACTAATCTATACAAGCGTAAGTCACTTGTGATATTACCACTTGCATTAACGTCTTTATATTATATCGTTCATATACACTTGAATCTTATTTCATAATACAATAAATAGTATTACACGTAACAAATTACTGCACTGTCGATTATGACAGTTAAATATGCTTCATAACATTTCGTTACCGCCATATGTAATCATATCACAATGTAAACTCTGTCAAATTTCCAACCTGCATTTACATACGTAAAATTGAAAGTTTAGAACGTTTATTCGGAAGACATTGCATATATCGCTGTCACAAGAAAAATCGTATAACACGTGTGATCAAAATAATGTTTATTCTCACAAAACTATGCCAATGCCGAGGTTTAGAAAAAATAGTGTAAATTCTGCTAATTATCTTCAACTACTCGCAGAACGATTCATTCAATGAGGAGAAATTGAAAATTCGATAAAGTGTGACGCATAGTTAGTATTGACAATTCTAAATGTTGATTCGTAAGCCGTTATTGATTATCAAATTATTCGACAAAACAGACAGAAACCACAATGAATTCTTCGTCAAAAACCACACACCAGTCGTCAAATTGTGTGATTAGCACAAACTTGTTTGATAACTCAACTCATCAAGCAATAAATACTTAATAACAATGGCGATAGTGAACAGTACATTGCTGTTCTACCATTCTGTTTATCGCTTAAACAAACCCTTCGTAGTAGCTACCACTAAATCGAAAAGCGCGGTTGTTAATTTTCACACGATCTGTCCCCAAATTTGGCCGGTAGATGTGTGTGTCGCCCCGAAAGTAAAAGAAATAAACTCGGTAAAAAAAATTAAAAATTCAGAGAAAAGGGTTGAGCGAATTCTCCTTTTTCGGCCACCATCTTAAGCTTAAACCGAGATGGTTAATATTAAGTCTTAAATAATTTTACTAGCGTATTCAATAACTCAAAGTATTCTTTCACAATGGTATGTCGGTCAGGCAATATTTCCGCACAAATCAAAGGAATCGCTCGTTTTTCAGTTCTTCTCACTAATGTTTTCAGTAACTCAAGCATATTCACAATCTTATTTGCATCCCCGTACCAATATAAGGACTATTCGCTAATGTATTCTGTAACTGAAAGCATTCTTTCACAATGATATGGCGATGGTTTTTCTCACAATTGTATTTGTCTACAGGTAGAAAGACAATTTGCTAAACGCATTCTGTAACTCAAAGCATTCTGTCAAATAATAAAGCCACTTCGGCTCAAAGTTTAGCCAATTTAAACAAAATTAGATGTAGTTGTAAGACTAGTTATTCAACGGCTCGATGTGCTTGTCGCAAAGCTGCTGTCATTTGTACTTAAACTGCCACCCTCATAATCGTCAATGCAGTAATGTTAATTAGTACATCGTTCTTTGTATCATGACATGTTAATATGCAGTAGAGTTAATGTTGCAATGTTAACGTTAATGAAATAATTTTATAATGTATTATGATTCCAATCTGACATACATGTCCATTCGGAATGGACATAAATTCCAAACCGACATACAACACTTACCAACGGAAATCACGGAGAAATACGTCATTAATCTGACTGTTCAGAAAAAATTTAAATGGCAATAAGAAACGGACAATTTTTACTGACAAAACTTTATTCTAATTGTTTCGAAACACAACAAACACAACAGAAAGATGCACGACCACGGTTTTTGCAAGATTAACAACCACTGTTTGTTTGTTTATTAATTTATTGTACATGTTTGAATAATACATAATAAATAATGACGCTTATTTGTATTTTACTAATTACATAACATATACATATTGGAAAAAATACATGACATTGTAACTACCAACTAGCTACTCTCCTGACGTCCGATAATTGCCTACAAATTAATTAGTTAGTTCATGGCAACGGAAACTGCCGCATGGGGAAACACTCACCCGCATGGCAACGTAAACTGCCGCATGGC